AAATACAATAGCTGGTGCACCAAAGAAAACAAAATATGTGCCCTCTTCCTTTTTAAAGTCAAACACAACTTCACTGGAAACATGAGCTGCAGGCTGTGCCCTCAACATGCCCACATTCTATCATTCGTCCATCAATCGATTTCTATACTGTTTATCCTGATCAGCATCGCAGGCAGCTGGGGCCCACACCAGCAGCAAAAGGCAAACTTCAGCACGGATTGGCTCACAAATATTTCAGGTGGCACAAGAAGAGACACTGAGTTACAGCTGTACTTACTGATTTTCATTTGATTGTTTGATATTCATTCTTTTCAGGCTGTCATACTACCAGATAAATATCGTTTTGTGTCTTGGACCAGGTGAGACGTCATACTACTAAATTCACCGTACGGGGACATTACCGGTACATGGTGCAACTATCAGACATGTTTGCCTGTAGTTCCCCGATTGTAAAAAAATGGCCACCAGAGACACAAGTATCAATACATTGAAAGAACGCCAGGTATTGGTACTTGCCCACCGTAATATTCATGGCCGAAAGGTATTTTTTTCCCTACAGGTATTTACAGTAATTGTGACTTTACTACTGCCTCGGTGTAGTTTTGGTAACACAACAGAGCGTGTTACGGCAGTACTGTAGGAACTCTGCAATGAATTGAGAGTCCGTTGTCATACTTTGAAAAAGCAACTAACCTGTAAGATGCTGTTCAGATAGCAGGTGTTGCCCCCATTGCTGAGCCCCACAAACGGCAACACGACATCTCTCTTCTCATATGACAGTGGGACATCATCCGGCAAGCTTGGTTGCAGAGATTGCGCAGGCACTACCTGATCACAGCTGCTGAGAATTGACATGCCATGAAATCAATGGATTATTGTGTGACCTTGGTTTGAATGGCAATAGTCTCCTCATCCCTAAGTTTTGGTTATATACAGGCAACTAAATCGCAGCAAAATAAAAAGGCTTAACTTCCAGCATCTGCATATTTGTCAGACAAACTTAAAGACATGCATGTTCACTGACTTGGCATCATCTGCTTGAGGTTCAGAGAAATCCAGGGCTCGTTTAGTTTCCTTCTTCTGAAAGAACTTCAAAGACAGTTTACTCCTCTTGATGGGGCTCACCAGCGAGGCCATGTCTTCTTCGCCTTGCAGACCAGGCATCTTCACACTTCACAGGCTGTCCCTTCTAAGAGTTGCAACATGCCCCTGTGTGGCAAAAGGAAGAAACACTTTTCATATCGTTTGAATGTGGTATTACTTTGCACAAAGGTTCAAAAATAAAGGCCAGAGCGCACACGGATACGTCCAACTGCGCTGCAAACACTGTATAATCATACATGTAGACATGTAGACGTATCAAAGAAAGTGGATGGTTCACAAAAACCAGTAAGTCAACGACCACCGAGGAATTACATAACCACTGCTGGTTCGAATGATTGGGACAACACTTTGCGTTATGTCCGTTGCCGATGGTTTTTGTAGCAGCCAGCACAGAATATCGCCGACACCAAGTTCCAAAACTGGGTCACTCTTAACCGTGAGGCACAACAACATCCGCGAAGACAAGTTTTTCGTGTCTCCGTTTTAAATTATCGAAGTCCAATGTAACAACAAACTTATGACCGTACCTTAATAAACTACTCCGGGCTTAACCTGAATAGATTTGACAGTAGTTTTCGATTAAAACATTTTATGGACGCCGCACCAAAACTTGGCGCTTTTTCTCCAATCTACAGACCAGCAACTGCTCCATCGCCGGTGTATACCCGCCGACTCAATCAAACGTCGTATATTTTTTTAACATGAAATTGTCAACTATGATACTACTTCCATTAAATGCGATTACCCTCAGTGTTGAATACAAGGCATTGAAATATATAATAAGGCGAACGTTTGTCTCCAATTAATCTGGCGTTTTTATTAGACACCAATGTTCAGTTTTGGCCCATCGGAAGCCATTTTTGTAGTCCTCAATTTATTTTGGGGATGATCGGAAGTCACTGTTGTAGTTGTCCAAGATTAGAAATCAAGCTGTGACGTGTGGTGCCATGTCCCAAAATAGTTTGGGTATTTAAAGCAAATGTTTCACTTTGAAAATGGAACAATGAAGTTATGAACTGTAGCTATATTTGCGTGGTTCCTATTAGATCCTGCAGACGACGCTGTAGGAGACCAAAAAATATTGGTCGTGCAGTTGTATGGCAAGACCACAATATTTTTTTAAGTTACGTTACGAGGCCTCTGTTTTTGTCAAGTTTAATAATGAAAGAGAAATAAAATTAAAAGAAAAACGCAATCCAGATAGAACATGGCAATTCAACTGGCGTGTAGCATAGCAAATAGTGGTAAATGATCCACATTGTAATTTAAAAAAACACCATATATTTTGAAAAGAAAAAGTTCAAGCTACCCTCACTGTCCGCGTAAAAAAAAAATATGAATAAAAAAATATATATAAAAAAAAAACGATGTCCCCGTTCGCCAGCAAGGGGCACTCTTGTCAATGACACCGTCACGCCGTCCAACAACGTTGGTCCACAGTTACTGGAGCATCTCCACATCTCACAGTCAGCTCGAGCTGTCGTCCACGATTTGAACGGTAAGATGCTGTTTACGTTTTCTTCGCCTTTGTTTTGTTTTGTTTTTTAACAAAAGGGTGAAAATGCTAAATTGCTTCCATGCGAACGGTTCCTTTTCATCAGGTGCAATATTGCACAAATACGTTTATATTAATGAGGCGCGGATTTAAAATAGTTGTTTTCCGAAGAGGCTCGCATCACTTTAGTGCGGTTAGAGGAAAACAAATAAACAACGTTTAATATCTCACGTGCACATCAGTACGATGATGCTGAGGAATAGCTGAGGTTCTACCGTTTCTGCTGATGCTGCTGCAGAGTGGCTTCGTGGACAGCAGCAACTACATGCATCGATGGACTAGGAACAGCTACAGCTTCCTTAAATCGCTACCAGCCGTCTGGCTTAGTCACCAAGTGATGTTGTAATAGTCTTACTCGTGAATTGCACTAGTAAGGTGGTGCCACACCTCCCGTGGGTATGTCATATGGTGCGATTTAACAACAGAGGTACTACTTGCTTGCATCATCATTATCATGTTATCTCTTCATTTTAAGATACAGGATTCACGAATGGCTGGCTTCCACAATAAAGCAGGACGAGGCGCAGCTCATATACTATATCACATAAGAGATCTTGATTTCAATACTGTGCTGAGTTATATTGACAGTCTTTAGTGAATAGTGATGCACAGTAATTTAAAGGTCAGTGGGTATTTGATCAAGGATGGTCAGGGAGTTGGCAATTACTTCTTCAAAGTCCATCAGTAACTATGCCATTGAGGCATTTTTCAACTCTTCGTTACTTTTCATTCTTGATGGATTGCCCTACATACACAGTTGATGCTGGCGAACATGTTATCTCAGTGAACTAAGTTAGTTATTACTGAGCAGCAGATGAGCGTGGAATGCATTTCTGTTGTCAAAGATTGGCTTCGATAAAATCTCACTAGCAAGCAAATGGTGTCATCGATGTCACATATCTATGTACCGAAGAAATGAATAACATAAATCAAGAGTCTGACCTTTTACCCGAAGAACAAGGTCTCAAAGTAACACTTAATGTAACGCTGACAATTCATTGATATTGCATTGTTTGATATTTTGTCTTTATGACAGCATCTGGGTTGCACCATGGTGCAGCAGTGGTTTGCATGTCTGCTTCACAGTCAAAAGGTCCAACATTCAAATCCCAGCTAAGGCCTTCCGCTGTGGCGTTTACATGTTCTCCCTGTGCTTTTGTGTTCATATTCTCCTCCCAGTCCAAAAGGATGCATGTGCAGTTTGCTGAAGACTTTAAAGTGTCCATAGGTGTGAATGTGAGCCTCAATGTTATTTTTCTATATGTGCCCAGTGTTTTTAGCCGATTCACATCACAAATAGTAGAAGCAAAGCACTTGAAATATATTTTGAGTGGGGGAAAGGAGCTAGTTTTTGTCATTACATACAAACTGTCCAACATTGAGTACGCACATTTTAATCCAGCGGCCACCTACAGGCAGTTCCCTTCCCAAGAGAATTTAACCCTCAACCTGTGCTACTAATGAGGGCCATTGTCAATGCACCGTACAGTAGGGTTGGCCTTTATCAAGGACGGCTTTGTCCCAAAAAGCACGGGATTCCCATTGGCTGGAGGAGCAGATGTAGAAGGGTCGACAGTTCCAAATCCCTGTGCTTCATGATGTGAAAAACACCCCCCTTCATTCTCCACCCGCAACGTTTCCCAACAGGGCAAGAGGGGGAAAATGAAGGCATGTTGAGTGCTGGGCAGACATGCACTCCAAGAATGTTACATTTCATTACATGCTACAGTTCACCTGGCAACATGCCATCTGTTTTATTATAAACTATTACGCAAATAACAATCACTTCACTTATGTGTGGTAAATGCTTCTGAGGTCAAAGTCATGCGTCTTTCTCTACTTGCAACTCCAGCATATTCGACTTTGATTTTATTCATTGTGGTGTTTAGTTGTACTTGGTTTGTGATGCTGCATCTGTCGATGATACACCCTCTCCGTTTATGGCTGAAGTGCATGACGATGGATTAGAAGACTTAGAAAACTGAACCGCTATGATACTCTTGGTATTTTATGATTGAACTTTACCATTGCAGCAAAAGTTGACCTAATTGGCCCTTTCTTGAGAACTCATGCGAGGATTTCAGTCCTCAATACTTCAAACACAAAGGAGGAACAGCAACGCTTTAAGGCTTTCTTGACATCTATTGATGGTTGCTGGATCGATCTCATGAAGTGCAGTAGTACTGATGTACCCGTAGGTGTTGTGGCCAAAATGAGATCTTGGCCTGCACATTCACATCTTTCCTCACTGCACATAGTTTGAGAAACTCCCGTGTGATGCAGGCTGAAGAGGTGGGTGTGTCCACTCAGCCGCTCTGATGTTAGAAAGCCGCAACCCTTCCATCCTACTCAGTCTGCCCTGAACTCTCGCTGCTCTCCCGTTTCACTCAGTCTGCCTGTCTGCCTGCTCTCCAGTGGAGTTTCACTTACCACTGTTCATCAGCACCAAGGATACATTCTCACAAATACAAACGGACACACGTCTCTCCTCGCGGACACGCTTTTGCAAACAATTATTGTGGGAAGAGCTCGAAAGTGAGAATCCAGCACTGCTGAGGCGCCATATTTTCCAAAGATTTCAAAAACAAGCTGCAGAGGTAAGGGAAGATCAAATGTGATTCATGTTTTTTTTTTCTATTGTTCACTCAGTTCCTTACTCAACTGTTGATGAAGACCCCTTGTAACATTTTCCCCATAGTTGTACTCTGTTCTCACTTGTTGCAGTCTCTTTTTCACCATTTTATTCACTTGCTTCATGCTCTGTCTTTGGACTATATATTTTATGACCAGTGTGTCAAAGCATTTTATTTTAAAGAGTTTATTGTGTCTTTTTATGGCCCTCCCATTTGTATCCCCAAGCCCACATTTAAGTTTATACCTACCAAAACCAACACATTTTGGTTGTTACTCCCATTTTGTGTTGAAGTTCTTTCTTTGTTTGGTTGCTTATTTGTGTTACTTTGTTGTTTTTTGTTTTTGTTGTGGATTTATTTAGCACATCCGTAAGGTAAACCGTGTCCACGGGAAAGAGTTTTGTCTGAGCACTCATAAAGGAAAACTCTCTCCGATTTCATACCTTGTCTTTCATGTCTCTTGCTATGCCAGTTGATACCATTTTCTAAGCTTCTCATTATCTGTGCCAGTTTTGAGTACAGTTACCTGCTGGCCTGACTAATATCTTCCAGCTGGTGCCCAACACGTGCACATGTGCGTGCAGTTACAGTACACACATTTGAGAAAGTAGGCCCACACCAATCAGATAGGAGCTGGAAAAATGGAAGGAAAGGCTTTAGAATGATAATATGGGCTCTCTGAGATCTGCATGCATTCACTCTGCATCACTGCTTTGCCTGCATTTCCTCTTTCTACCCCCCATGCCCCTTACCCCCGCCCCCTCCCTTTTCTCCAGTCTACTCTCTTTACAATCTTTCTGCCTTCCCCTATCTCTGCTCTCTCAGCGAGTGCATGTATTCACAGTCAGTCTTGGCCACTATTCTGCATGTCTGCAATACAGAATCGGCCACGGTTGGTTGGCACGCCACAGCTAGACAACATTAAAACATCGACACATTCCCATCATAGAAGAGTTGTTTACAAGAAGCCACAGTGCCACTGTGTGTACGTGCATGTGTGCCCACACACAGTGCATGGAACATCTCTATCTATCTATCTATCTATCTATCTATCTATCTATCTATCTATCTATCTATCTATCTATCTATCTATCTATCTATCTATCTATCTATCTATATTTTAATCTTTTTAATGAAACTCCAATGGCGAGTGGATGTTCACTATGCATATGTAGGTCAAAAGGTGCCCATTATTATTCAAACATAGACCGGTTCAGGTAATGGATGGATGGATGTTGTCAATTGCAATATGCTTTATTCACATTTGTGCCTCGTCCGTCGTTCTGTGTGTATGGTCCGGTATGTGTTTGTGTGTCAGTATGATTTCCTGGGAAGTGCTGAGAGGTGGTTCATTCTGGCTCATGCTGTCGGCTCATGGCTTTTAGAGGCCTCACTGTAGTGATGCAATGATGTGTGATTTGCAGAGTGACACTGGCAGAGGTATCTGTGAGATGTGACTGAGAATTATACGCCCACGAGGTTCTTTTAATGACCATCCGATGTGAAAGTTATTTTTTTCCAGACTCTCGCTGCACTTTGTAGGGCTTTTGCATGATTGTAGACCTACTGCTCAAATATTGTACAATCCAAACAGACCTGATTTATCAAAAGGGCTGGTTCCAAAACCATTATGTAAATCCATCGTCAGGTTTGGTTTATGTATGACCCGCTCGATGTTTAATATTTCCAAATTAACCGAATATCATTGCAGTTGCACTCATTGTCATGAATTGTGAATTAGATAATCTTGTTTTTATTGTGGAAGACAGATAATGTCAGTTCTGTAGGAAATATTTTGCATTCCAATCTGGATGACCATGCACCTGCACGTAAAGTATGCGTGCACACACGCTTTGCCCTCCCAGTACACGTTACATAGACCCTTGCTAGAAACACAACTAATGTATCATGAGGCAAGGCAAGCCAAGGTAGCTGAATTTATAGAGCACATTTCATACACCAGCCAACTCAATGTGCTTTACACAAGCAGACACAACACGGAAAAGCTTTTACAAACACAAATAACGACATTCAGAAGCAAAGCAGAAAAAACAAAAGTAGCCTACCAAAAATTACAACAAGAACATACATTGGCAAATTTAAACACATTCGCAAAAAACTTTAAAAACGTCTAAAACTGAAGAAATAAATGTGGGTTTTTAAATATTACTTAAAGTCTGCACTCTGAATGATTTGAAAACCGTTTAACCCTTTCAGGGCAGCGGTTACGACAGTGGACAGCTTACCATGTTATCGGCTTACAGCACGGGTGTCGAACTAGTTTTTGTCGCGGGCCACATTGTAGTTACGGTTTCCCTTGAAGGGCCGTTATGAATTTTGGGAAACTATATAAATGTTTAATCCCATCCACATATTACATACACAGCGCACAACAAATTGATCAAGAACAAGTTTTATAATCAGAAGTCAAGAATAAAGACTGTTATTGTGGATTACATATGATAATTTGAAATTTTGGTTAAGACTTTAGCAAGCATCATGGACCTTGACATGATTGATTTGCTTTCGCGGGCCACATACAATTGTGTGGCAGATCTGGCCCCCGGGCCTTGACTTTGACACCTGTGGGTTACAGGGTGCATGAAAGAGTGAAAAGACTTTCATCAAAAGAATGGGAAAAAGCAAAGTTTTATACCCTGGTTTGTGTTACATATTGAAAGGGGTTCTTTGGATGACTTGAACATAAACATTGGAGTATTTGTTTGGCGCCATTGAAAGATAATTTGATTAGTGTCATTCGGGATCTCAAAAAACCTCTCCTGGGGGCCACTCAGAATCAAAATACCTTTGTTGGCCAACCACATGTGTTTGTATACACGTGTGTCTTCAGTTAGTGTGATTGCTTGGGGGCAATAGAAGTGAGAATTGTCACGCTGTTATGCCTTCTTGTTGATGCATGGAGACAGAATGGGGGGACAGAATGTTCCGTCGCTAAGCCGCCACTGGAGGTAGTCACTGGCGGCGTTCACTGCAATTGTGCTTGACAAAGAGCCCTGCAGAGCTACACGAGTTTGACTCACGAGGATTTATTTTGGGTCGTTTCATCTCCACAGTACTTAGAGTTATTAAAACTGATGTGCTTTCACCAAACAAGTGGTGGAGGCTGTCCAAGCTTTAAGGCTTCGAAAGCGCTGCAGTACGAGGAAGAGGGACTCCCTAAAAATCTCTTTCGGTCACTCAAAGAACCTCCAACCCCCTCACTGAGAACACAGATTAGAGCTGGGGGTCATCGCACACACATACAGTCTTCACACATGCAGACACACGCACACCTCACTAGAGCAAAGGCCCAGGGATGGGACTGTTGATCGAATTCTGTCAGCACCCTCTTTCTCAGCTATGCTTTCATCTCTGGGCGGCCCTGTAGTTGAGTGGTCCGTGCGTCCTACTCATAGTGCAGAGGTGCAGGGTTCGATTCTGTCACGTTACGAGGTGGTGGTGGACCCCAAAAAGCAGGCAGGAGGGAGGAGCAGGTTTTACTTGGAGAATTGTATTGATAAAAACACAGAGAACACTAAATCCTAAACAAACAAAGTTCTAAGAACACAAGGAATCCAAAGTACCAAACCAAAAGATGACTGAGGCAAAAAACTAGAACAGAACCATGACAGAAACAAACATGACAGAACGAACAAACAAACAATGACCCAACCATGAGTGGTCAGGCGGGAGTCCTTTTATACAACTAATTACAGAATCTGTCACAAACAGAATCATGACAGATTCAGGCTCTGGCCTTCCTGTGTGGAGTTTGCATGTTCTCCCCGGGCCTACGTGGGTTTTCCCCGGGTCCTCTGGTTTCCTCCCACACTCCAAAAACATGCATGGCAGGCTGATTGAACACTCTAAATTGTCCCGAGGTGTGAGTGTGAGCGCGGATGGTTGTTTGTCTCTGTGTGCCCTGTGATTGGCTGGTAACCGGTTCTTTCAGGGTGTCCCCCACCTACTGCCCGTAGACAGCTGGGATAGGCTCCAGCACCCCCCGCGACTCTAGTGAGGATAAAGCGGTTCGGAAAATGGATGGATGGATGGATGGATGGATGGATGGATGGATGCTTTCAACTCTGTCTTTTGCCACATGTCGGAGTCCTTAAGCTCCAGGTGGCTCTTATGATGGTATGAGCAATTGTGTCTTTATTGGTCCTTTAACATCTGCTCTGTAAAACGTACCTGACTGGCCATGTCATACAAAACATCCATCCATCCATTTTCTAATCCTCTTATCCTCACAAGGGTCGTGGGCGTGCTGGAGCCTCTCCCAGCTGTCTTTGGGCAATAGGCGAGGGACACCCTGAACTGGCTGCCAAGGCGCACATAGACGAACAACCATCCGCGCTCACACTCACACCTAGTGACAATTTGGAGTGTTCCATTAGCTTGCCATGCATGTTTTTGGAATGTGGGAGGAAACCGGAATACCCGGAGAAAACCCACGCAGGCACGGGGAGAACATGCAAATTCCACACAGGAATGCCAGAACCGTAATCGAACTCTGCACCTCTGCACTGTGAGGCCGACGTGCTCACCAGTCCCCCACCGTTCCACCAGTCATACAAAACAATAATTAGAAAATCCCAGATCAAGTTGAGGGGTGAGACTCCTCATTATGCTATTGAGCGGTACAATAATTCCTGTATGTTAAATGGTGGCTATTTGCTCATGCTATCTGCCTTCCCCGAATGTGTTTTTATAGTGGTTAGCACGTCTGCCTTACAGTCAAGTCGAGAGGTCCCATGTTTGACTTTCCGCCTACACTGTGTGCAGTTTGCATTTCCTCCTTGTGCTTGTATATGCATTATGTTCCGGGTTCTCTGCCTGCATGTGTGTTTTGTTTTTCAGTTTCCTTGGGTAGAGACTCCTGTGACACACCTGCAGTCGGTGTCAATAAGCAGGGTAACGGTTAGGGCGCTGCAGAGGGATAAGGGAGACATCACTTTATTGATTTGCTCAACTCCATTTACGCTTTGCGGCATTATGTGTTCTCTGTATCCCGAGTGTGTTTCATGGCATCTAATTCCAATCAATTATTCAATTCGGCTCTGTATTATTGTGCATTTAATTAAGTCTGCTTTGGGGTCCAAGATTTGGTCATTTCATTTTCCTTGACAGAGTAATCCAAACAAATGAATCCCGCAGACTTGAACCCCTCTCAGAGAATCTTGCCAACCGTTATTTTGTTTTGTTTTTCTTCACTGGCCCCACTCCTGTTCCCCACATTTCTGCTAGCTGTGTCTAGATATTGTTTTATTATGCCGAAATGACTGCCCTATAGAAGGTAACTATAACAACAATGATGGTGGCTTGGACGTTAGCACTCATTTGTAAATACGTAACATACATACAAAAAGAGATCAATCATAATTGCTTCTCCGACGACACCGTCACCACCAGTTTATTGACTAAATGCAGACTATCACTTTGCCCAACAACAGCAATTCACAAGTTGTTTTTTTTTTAAAGAGGTGGTGAATCCCACCCAGTTTTTGGACAGTAGCCAGCCACCGCCGATTCGGTTGCCAAAGCAGGCAGATTTTCGTCCTTGCTCTGAAAGCCCAATTGTGATTAAAGCACTGTCAGCAGGCCAAGAACTATTCACAGCATGATCTCGGTACACCAAAGCACATTGAACCTCTGTACTGTGGCATGAATTCATTTGAACCTATTAAATCACAGACTTGCATTGACCTCCCTGTGTTCCTCTATATCCATGCGCAACCAATGATGCACAAATGAGCTTTTAGTCTATCGAAGACTCCACATTGTTGTGAGCACTATTTATATTGGAAGCTGCTTTTATGTTATAATCAGTCGAATTCAAGTAAGTGATGTAAATTTGGTAACACCGGCTTGCAGTATAAAATGATGACACTTTTAACAGTTAACAAGTGAAATGGAATGCATTATACCAGTAGTCTCAACCACCAGGCAGTAGGCCAGTCCTGGGAAGCAGGACATTTGTCATGGGGCCGCACACACAGACTGAACAAAACATATGTCATTGTATATATGAGTCTTAAATTAAGTTCTATTTTGAAAATGTGGCGCAATCACCTGTGCCTCTCCCTCATCCCGTAAGCTAGCAAAAGTGAGTAAAAAAAACATTAAACGTGTTTGAAGAGCTTCTTTGGAAAGGGAAACAAGCCAAATAGTGAGACAAAAACCTGCAAGAAAATTAAAGCTATATTTAAGAAGCAAGTTGGATAATCCTATTGAAGATACTATTTAAAATTCCTATGTTGCGACAGGCTATCAAATTAGTCAATACAGCCATTAAAACCGCTTTGGCACATGCAGCCCAAGCATCCGGAGTAAATAGACAAGCATTGAAGTTTTTTAAATATATATTTTTGACTGTGAATTATACAGAAAAAAAAGTTCCACTTGAATACAAGCCATATCAATCCATCCATCTGTTACCCAATCCGCTTATCCCCACGCGGGTCGCGGGCGTGCTGGAGCCTATATCGCAGCTGTCTTCGGGCAGTAGGCGGGGTACACCCTGATGAACTGTTTGCCAGCCAATCGCAGACAAGCAACATTAACAAGTCAATAAAACTCTAACTCCCTGGAAATATAAGTTATAAAAAACAAAAGTGCAGCATTAAAACTGATTGTCCAATTGAGAATAGCACAGACTTGAATAGATGCGCAACACTTAAAAAAAAAATCTGTTTCTGCTTGTGAATTTGTCTCGCTGCAGAAGGAAACAAGGAGCCAAGTGGGGGACGGCCACGTGCCAAAGAGATGATCTGACTGGCCTCTTGATTGACAGCAGGAAAACTCAGTTAGCACCAACCCTGGCCCCATCCACATACAGCCAGCTCCCTTTTCAACAATCAACACAGGCAGGACGATTCTTCCACTTTGTACGCCACTGTTGAGGCATTACGTAAATGAACATTTTCTTCAGATTCTATTTTGTAGTATTGAGTCATGAGGATATGTATTGGAGTCAAAGTATAGATTTTACTATAGTGGAGTGTAAGTTGCCAGAAAAAAAAAACATTACATACGAAACTTCATGAACAGAGAGTGCAATGTTAGGAGCCTGTAATGTTGCATCGCATACATAATCATTTGTTTCTATTTTTCTTTTTACTCTGCTAGTCTGTCACAATATATCTTTATATCTTTTTTTAAGCATGTGTCATCATATTGCAGCTTGAAAAACATAATACCGGGCATTTCTCAAGAAGCAACAGTGAGAAATAATAGCTTGGTCCATCCTTACATTGTCTCCCCATAGTGTATCCTGACACATTTCTTAATGGGTTCCTGGCATTGACAGGCAGGAAAAAACTGTGTGTTTGGAGAGGAGCAGAGAGAGCTGAGGGGGACATGGGACTTCCTTAATGCTACCTTCGCCTCCAAATGCAGCCTTCTTATTGGCTGGCACAAGGAGGGAGGAACATCCTGGTTGAGTGCCGATGGAAGTGGCCGCTCCCTGCTGGACGTCCAAAATGTATTGTGTGTGTGTGTGTGTGTGTGTGTGTGTGTGTGTGTGTGTGTGTGTGTGTGTGTGTGTGTGTGCGTGTGTGCATGTGTGGAAGTGTTTGTGGTAGAAAGCTGTCTGTTCTGTACTGAAATAACCTTTGGCTTTCTTAGCGTGTGTTTAAATGGTGCCATTGACCAATGTCTGCGTGCCTTTCCACACAATTACAAAGGTCGTCAAGTCAATGTCTCTTCCTTGCGTATTGAACACATTTCCCCGTGTTGAGCTCATTATTCTTCACCCTTTGATTGTATCTCAATACACTGACAGAGATGACTTTGGAGGTGGATTTGAATGTTGGTCAAAAGTTTTCTTTTTGGAACACCAGTCTTAAGATGGAGATATATTTGTAAACATTTAGAATAAATGCAATCCTAAAAAAATATTTATACTGACTATACTTTTATAGGTAAGAAATTTACCATTGCGATGTGACATTTTCGAAAGGCAAGGTCAAATTTGATCATGACTTGAATTGCGGGTGTGGGTATTGATGTGGAGAATGTCTCCCCAGAGGTTTCTTGACACTTTAATCTTTGTAAAATGTTGGTCGGTGGAAAGCGGAAATGACTACAATGTTAAAGCTCCGTTTCTTCAATACAAAATGGTTTCTCTCTCTCCCTGTCTCTCTAGTTGATTCAAAAGCACACTTGACATTCAGTAATTGACAGGTTTGAATAGTTACATGTATGGAAATATACTCAATGCTGAGTGCATACTAGTAACTACTAACATTGACTGCTGTCTAACGAGTTATCATGTAAGAGCAGAGTTTAAAACAAAATTCTCATCAGAATCAGAAACATCATTATTGAAAGATACAAGGAATTTGTATCTGGTAGTTTGAAGCGCTCTCGTGCAGCAGAAGCATAAGACATCCATCCATCCATTTTGCGATCCGCTTCACCCTCACAAGGGTCGCGGGGCGTGCTGGAGCCCATCCCAGCCATCTTCGGGCACACCCTGAACCAGTTGCCAGCCAATCGTAGGGCACACAGAGACAAACAACCATTCACACTCACACCTAGGGACAATTTAGAGTGTTCAATCAGCCTGCCATGCACGTTTTTGGAATGTGAGAGGAAACCGGAGTATCCGTAGAAAATTCACACAGGCCTGGGGAGAACATGCTAACTCCACACAGGGAGGCTGGCGCCGGAATTGAACCCGGTACCTCTGCACTGTGAGGTCAATGCGGTAACCACTTGAACACCGGGCCGCCCTAGCATAAGACATAGTTTTTAATGTGAAAACTCTCTTATTCCACCTAAAAATACAATGTACCCTAAATTTAGGACACACTCACTTTTTGTAACTCACATAGTTTTTACCTCTCCAGAGCGTCCCACATTTTTGAAGTTGTTATAAGTAAGAGTGTAACCCGGGTCGAGATGAAACAAAGGTTAAAAAACAAAACAAAAACAAAAACAAAAAAAAGAGTACCGTACCATCGTGTTATCAGTGAAAGGGAGGACATTTGTCACTGTATGTGTGCAAGTGAGCATTCGTGCCTCTGCTCTAATTGTGTTTCATATTCCATCTTCCCAACAAGCCTGAGAAAGCTCACACTAATGGCTTGCATGAAGCTCAGGAATGTAGATCAACTGATGAACACCTTGCCCGCATGTGAATCTTATCCACATGCTCTACAAATGTACAGTACACTGTGTGTGTGTGTGTGTGTGTGTGTGTGTGTGTGTGTGTGTGTGTGTGTGTGTGTGTGTGTGTGTGTGTGTGTGTGTGTGTGTTCAGCCTCAGTGGAGTTGCTGCTCTTCCAGAGTTTAGTGATCCTTGAACTCGTTCAGCTACTCAACCTGCAAGTATGGTTGCACTTTGTGCTTTCTCGCGTCTGTTTAGAGCAGGCTGACCACCAGCCACTTGGACTGCACATTTCGTACTGAAGCATGTGCCCAGTGTTTTCTATTATTGTACAAACATACAACATTTGGAGTCAAATTTCTCTGCTGATGCTTGTAGAATGAGTATGAGTCCGGCCTAACTGTGTGCAAACCTTCTCCGCTCACCAATAGAACACCCTTGTAAAATATCATTTACAGTACAGTATTGCCAACAGTTTCAATCACATTTTCGCTGAAATGATTCCGACTCGGGGGTCGGCAACACGCGGCTCCAGAGCCGCATGCGGCTCTTTAGTGACATCTAGTGGCTCCCTGGAGCTTTATAAAAAATGTTTGAAAATGGAAAAAGATTTTGATAGTAGGCTAATATCGCTCAAATAGATATAGATACATTTGCAGCTCCGAAAAAGGAGAGCTGTGGTGTTGGTTTTTTAAAACGTACACTTTTATTTATGCTTTTAACAGTCTCAATAAATACTGACACATCTGCGTCCGACTCTGTGCCTTCTCTCTTCTCGTTCGCCTCGAGAGGCGTTCAAAGACAGCCTCAGAAAAGAAAAGCGAAAATAATGCACCAAAACAAAAAAAAAAAAATCAAGCGAGGAAATTACAAAATAAATTCTATGCAGGCGTTTGTGAACACACAACAAAGGAATGAATAACAAACAATTCTGAGACAGTCCAGTCTCCTACATACATACAGCATGTGTTGCCTTCATTGTAAGTTTTATAGAAGGCTTTTATTTTTTTGCGGCTCCAGACATATTTGTTTTTTGTTTTTTTTTGTCTTATATGGCTCTTTCAACATTATGGGTTGCCGACCCCTGTTCCGACTGAATTGTTGACTGACTTGTAATCATGAGAATAGCATGTCTTTCATTGCGATGGCAACCAAAGAAACATGAATCTGTAACAACCAAACACTTGTCGCGTAACACATTATGGATGCTAAGAAAGTGTTTTCTCATTATTTAGATTCATCTGCATTGTTTATTGAAAGAAAAATCGAGACCTATGAGAGCGGAAGTGATTTGGTTGTCCACCCATTCTAGTGGCCACTGCAATATTTGTGGTTAACTGGCATGTTTTTCGTTTACTTTGCTCGCATGCCACCGTTGAATTAGGGTAGGGAACTGAAAAGCTATTTCTGTATATTACTAAGTTACAGCGAAGACGCCTCGATTCCAAAAGGAGAATATAAGTGGCATTTGAGGAGGCGCAGGTGTCAACTGTGACAATTAGGCTAGATTGCAGCTCCGGAACTGCTCACTCAACAATTAGCCAGATTGTATCATCTTGCTCTTATTCAGGCTCTCTGCTTTTGAAGCCTTGCCTTGTTTTCGACCTGAATCATGAATAGATTCTGGTAGCTACTATTCAAATACCCTGTTTGGCTGAAATACTGTGTTTTACCAAAATAAATATCAAATAAATCAACAGATATTTATGGTGTACATAGACTACCGGTATATGTGTTTTATATTTTCATATATGCAACATCCACTTAAGACTAATAAACACCTCCCCTTTCTTTCAGGAGAAAGAAAATTATTCATGGAATTACAGTACCTCATTTCATAGGCACTAACCTTCACTTTCCCTCATTAAACAAGATTTTTTTTTCTTTTTTTTAATTTCTCACAATTTAATACAGTTCCCAGGTGTTATAATAACATACCCCAAGAATAATTACAGCACATTTTTTGCGCTCCTTTTTCCTGTCCCATGTTTTGAGGAGAGGTTTCGGTCTCATGTAAATGAGCCACTTCTCACTCCACCAGCTTCTTCTCATGCCAAAATCTTGTTACCATGACAACTGGGGGGCAGAACTAAGGGGGTTTCATCAAAGCGAGCGACTACTACTTGTGGCACCTCACAGTCTGAATGAAAAATCGAGCCCAGATAAAGACGAACGTATTGATTGTATTGCCACTCGTGGAGGTGCCGCTTCATCAAATGAAACATTTACTTTCCAAGCAATTAAAATGTTAATATTCTAAAGTCTGTCCCTTTGAAATAATTAAACTGCTGAGCTCATTTGAACTCTAATGACGGACATCAACAAAACAACAGCATGGCGGTACGTCAACTGACAGCTAGATTAATTCAAGTCAGTTAAAGCATTGATTAAATGAGATAACATTACACTAATCTGATTTTGTAAACGGGTGGCATGGCAGTGTACTGGTTAGCACGTCTGCCTCACAGTGTAGCGGTCCTCGGAGTTTGCGTGTTCTCCCCGTGCCTGCGTGGGTTTTGTCCGGGTTCTCCTCAACAGATATTTATGGTGTACATAGACTACCGGTATATGTGTTTTATATTTTCATATATGCAACATCCACTTAAGACTAATAAACACCTCCCCTTTCTTTCAGGAGAAAGAAAATTATTCATGGAATTACAGTACCTCATTTCATAGGCACTAACCTTCACTTTCCCTCATTAAACAAGATTTTTTTTTCTTTTTTTTAATTTCTCACAATTTAATACAGTT